ATTTTGTACACGTGAAAAATAAAGAATAAATCAAATGTTGCTACTGCGTATTTTGTTGTATTCCCCGAAAAAACACGCTTCGAAATTAGACTTTTTTTTAGTTTCAAGATTTGGCTATCCGATTATTACTGTACTTTTTTTCGGTGATGCTGCTGCATTAGAATCAGAAAATATATTTATACTGGAGGAATCTGGTGAGCTATTAAGCTCTATTTCACAGATGTCCACTAGTGGCGGGTAATAACGTTACAATAACAAACAATAAAAAAACACGAAAGGAGTGCAAAGGTAAACAAATTGCTTTAAAATTGTATAAAAATAAACTATGTTTGTATCTTACAAGGTAAAGCCCATTGAGCTATTAGCTTATTTTTCAGAAGCGACCCGGCCACAAATGATATCTCAACAAAGTAGATTATCAAGTGGAAATATATAAACAATGCACCCCAAAGGGCATGTAACATAGAGATATAATATTTTAAAAAATACAACACAATCGCCAATAACACTGTCTTAAGAAGAATATATGTAAGGTGACGTTTCAGGCAATAGCTCTTCTGCATAGCACATATAGATTTTTCGATTTAAAGCTTTCGTGACTACAGGGATTCATATTCGTGGTTCTTTTGGTAAAGTCACGTAGAAGGGAATAATAAAATAATAAAAATATAACATCAAATAAAATTCTGAAAATGACAGTGAGAATTTTATTTTATTATGTGAATTTTTTATTATTTTATTATTTCCCTTCTACGTGACTTTACCGAAAGAACCAAGAATATGAAGCATCAATAGAGAGTCCAGAGAGAGCTAGAGAGAGAGTGGATTGCACTATAATAATTACATTTTCAATTATGTCCTGATGAATAGTCTGAAATCTGCTCGTGAATAGTTACTCACTAGACGTACCCTGCACTAATTAAACTTATATTGCAGTACTACATCAACTCATTTGTTTTAAAAGTAAAATTGTCAACAGTCCAGAGGCTGGCCGCCAGTGCCAGCAAGACCTTCTCTGCTGGCCTAGAAATTGTCAGAATCAGAACTTTTTCATAATTTAATATATTTTTTCTTGAATGCTATATGTATTTTACAAAGTTCGTTCCCATCAGTCTATTAACGTCATTTCATTGCTACTCTCTCCCTCGGTTGCGCTGCTTCCAGTGCAGCTCATATATAAATGAGAGCGTTTATCCAATCGGATTTTCCACCTGTGCCGTCTCCGTCTCTCCGGGTGAAAAATCTACCCCGAGGGCCTTCAGAATGTCGAGTGAATCCCCTCTGCTGTTGAAGCAAATGGGGACGATGTTGTTGATTGTCATCCTTTAACCAATCAGATGTCAAGTTTGCCATGTTGGGCGTATTCTTGGACACGCCGGAGCCTTCTCGCTGGCCAAGCCGGCGACGTTCGCATTTTTCGCGTGGCGTGATCGGAGAGCCATTTAGCTAACTGAAGTAAAACTCGCTTCAGCACGTAACGTAGCATCATCTAAGATTTATTAAAATTTTCTTTCGTGACGTTCAGATTTTTAGATGTAGTGCTTTAGATTTTTTTTTGTGGGGAAGCCTGTTGAATCCATCCTGATTGTGTTGTTTGTGTTTTACGGCATTTTTGCTTGCTTGGTGGTCGTATGAGTAAATGTTGTGAGTTTGTTTTTATTTCTTTGGTAATGACATTGATTTGGGCTACGCGATGTCTATTTGTGATGCAGCATCCTGTCATACCGCGTGTAACAGCGGTACATCCTTGATGGTTTTCAGTCACCATGTATTCATGTCTCTGCAATTAGTGTATTGTAACTCTCATAGGTGTTGAGCCTCGTGTTAAATCACTTTACTCCACTCGATAAAGGTTACTGTCACCGTGAATATGGGGTGGTTACGTCAAATGACAAAAGCCGAGAGCCCTCGTGTCACGGTGAGGTTATTCGAAGGCGGTTTCATTGCGGGAGGATAGCCCTGAAGTCCGAGGTGTAAAATACACGGCCCGCTCAACACAATCATTCTCGATTTAAAGCTTTCGTGACTGCAGGGATTCATCTTCTTGGTTCTTTCGGTAAAGTCATCACGTAGACGCTGTCTCCCCGACAGACCTGATCTTCACCTGAGGACGGCTGCTTGCGTTGTGGCCGAAACGTCGTGAGAATTATTTTATTATGTTGTATTTTATTATTTCCATTCTACGTGACTTTACCGAAAGAACCAAGAAGAACAATCATTCTCATTCGCAAGTTTGGAGCGATTTATTCTTTCAGCGCACGTGCAGGAGGCGGATTTTGCCATTGCCAGGTCTGCCGTGCGGGGATGTCGGCATGTGGAGGAGACTTTATCCAGCGGTGAACAAGATCACGGCCGTTGATGATGTGCCAGTTCATATGCTGTTCTGTTAAGCTAATGGCGCAAACGAGACGGGCAAAAGTGAGACTTAAAAAAAACAAAGAAGAACAATCGTTAATATGCAAACGGTGCTTATGTAAGGCTTTCCTAACTACGCGTGCTCAGTGTTTGTGTGGAGCGCCGCGCTACAAAAACGCTCACGGCCAACATCAGTGACGAGTGTGTGAGCCGGTCCTGGGCCTCCCCATAGGTCTACTCAGCCTCAAATGAATGCCCGGTGCGGTGTCTTTATCATCGCCACTGGGGAGACAAAGGCGGCCGGGCGTGGTTGCTTGGCACAACACCGCCTCGCGTTCACCGTGTCGACCTTCATAGGTGCTCGCTGCCAGCACTTGCCCCAACAGTCTGTGAAGGCTACGGGGTGCGGGATCTTTGTCTTTGCTATTTAATTCGCTTCGACATTTGTGACGATGTGTAACGAGGGTGGGGGGGGGGGTGAGAAATGTGACGTCACATCAAAATGCGCAACTTTAAATAAATATAGAATTGTTATAACAACACTAATTGTTATAACAACACTCATACAACATCAGAGTGCAGCGCCACATTAAATACGCACTACAATGACAATAGTTGAAAGCGATTTGAAGCATGTTTATTTTCAAAATGGAAATATGGTTTTGGGGGGGGGGGGGAGCAGAGCAGAGCTTTGTGGCGTCATATTTGAGGGGGGGGGTCTGACTTTTTGTGACGCCGTGTGACGAGGGGGGGGGTCAAAAATCGTCCAAAATCGCGTGACGTCATTTATGGACGGCCCCTAAACCATAATCGCGAACGTCATCCCCGCAACAGCGGCGGCTTTTGTGTGGCCATCGAACAAAGGACGGTGGCCACTGCATCAGATGCGCTTCCTGTGGCCGTCTGGAACGTTCTCTTCGTTTGCAATGCCAGGACGCCACTGGAGCTATGTGCACTTTTAAATAATCGTCCGGAATGAAATGTAACTTCTTTAGAACTGCGTGTTGTGTTTAGTTTGTTGTGTTCCCCCCGCAACTTCGATTGGCAACGGTTGGCTACGTACGGTGCGAAAGAAGTTCTACACACATGCGTATCAAGATTTGAATGGGGTAGGTTCCTTACAATAAACACACTGTGCTTGAAGAAGGGCTATTGCCCGAAACGTCGTCATTTGCAAAAAGCAAAACAAGTGTTATTGACAAATGCGAATCACCGAATCTCGCGAGGAGCTGGAAAATCGTGATTCATCCACTGCCTTTGTATCGTGGAAGGAGAGGGGGGGAAGGCGAGTGGAGAGGGGATAGAGAGAGAAGAGGAGAGAGGCCACAGAAGACATAGGGGGAACATAGACATGGAGTAGGGAGAGAGGGGGTAGAGAAAAAAAAGAGAGGGAAGGGGTAAGAAGGAGAGCAGAGCGTGACATCTTTCGTGAAATCTTTCATTTAAAAAAAACAAAAAAACCGAAATGATGAACGAAGCAAAGTGCCGACTACACCGAGCATCTTCTTGTTTCCACTGATCGTAAAAAAAAAGTGAGTTTAGAGAGAGGGGTAAGACTTTGACTTTTAAACAACTTTTATTGCCGCTAGCAGCAATTGCACTGGAGGCGATTTAAATATGAAATACACAAAAAAATGAAAATGAACGCTACAAATCGACGCGCTTTGCAGCGAAAAGAAGAGAGAGAGGTTAGAGAGAGTTCTTCTTGGTTCTTTCGGTAAAGTCACGCAGAATGGAAACAGACCTGTTCTCCACCTGAGGACGGCTGCTTGTGTTGTGGCCGAAACGTCGTGAGAATTATTTTATTATGTTTTATTTTTATTATTTTATTATTTCCCTTCTGCGTGACTTTACCGAAGGAACCAAGAAGATGAATCCCTGCAGTCACGAAAGCTTTAAATCTAAATTTAAGAGAGAGAGGGGTAAGAGAGAGAGAGAGGGGTAAGAGATGGTTGTGGGCGTGAGGGTTTTACATAAAGCTAGGTTAAACATTTTTTTTTTAATTACGAAATGATAAACGATGCAAAGTGCCGAATACACCGAGCATCGTCTTGTTTCCACTGATCGTAAAAAAAGAGAGGTAAGAGACTTTTGACTTTTGAAAACTTTATTTCCCCAGCGCAAATTGCGCTGGAATATTGCTGTGCCTTGTAAGCCACTCGGAAGTGACCATTTCTGCAACCAGTGACAAATTAAATGCGTTCAGTCTCAGTGACAATCACCATAAAGCGAACAGCGGCGTCAGTCCTGCACGACTGGACAAGAAACGGGGGGGAGGGGGGGGGTCAAAACGTGTAGATCAGTGCATTCTGCACAACTGTACACAGAGCGTCCTTGGCGCACCCCCATTTCTTCAAAAAGTCACTCTCCCCCTCGGCATGAAAAAATATGGAACGCTTCACGAATTTGCGTTAGAGAGAGAGAGTTTCGAGAGAGGGGTGAGAGAGAGAGATGGTTAGAGAGAGAGATGGTTAGAGAGAGAGATGGTTAGAGAGAGAGGGAGATGGTTAGAGAGAGGGAGTTTAGAGAGAGGGGTAAGAGAGAGAGATGGTTAGAGAGAGAGATGGTTAGAGAGAGAGGGAGATGGTTAGAGAGAGAGATGGTTAGAGAGAGAGGGGGATGGTTGTGGGCGTGAGCTCGAGGAGAAGAGGCGATTGGCTGAGCCTGGCTGGCTAAAAGGAGAGCACCGCTCTCTCCGACCTCTGCACCGCACCAGTCTCACCATGGCGTTCCTCCTCAAAGGCGTGGCGGGGCACTACAAGGTGGTGGTGGTGGTGATGTGGCACGCAGTACCGTGATAATGTTTGCACGCCGTCGATGTTAAAGTTGCACAGGCAACATCTCCGCTGTGAAACTCACGTCTGTGAAGTGAAGGATAATGTTAAAGTGCTTAAAATGTATTGAGAGTTTGCGTTGCGTGGTGCTCGGATGTGCGCGGGAGCGGTGGGTGTAGTGGTTAGCGCTGCGGTATCGAACCCGGCGAGCCGAGTTCGATTCCTGCTCGCGGCCAACATCGGTGACGATTATCTGAACCGGTCCTCGCCTAGGTCGACTCGGCCTCAAACGAGTACCTGGTGCGGTGTGTGAAACATCGCCACGGAGGGAGACAAAGGTGGCCGGGCGTAGTGTTGGCCTTATTAGGTGCTCGCTAACAGCGCCGCCGTCTTTGTTACATGCGAGACGCGGGTTTGGGGGTAAGCTTTGTTAATGTTCTTCGGCTGTCAGTTTTAGTGGTGCAGCAGTTAACAATAAATAAGGCGACGTTAGGTGGTGGCATTGCGATGGCAGCGTGATTACGATGCGAATTTATTTAAACGATTTGGTTGTCAGGCAAAGCCCCCCCCCCCATCCGTGCGAGGTGGCATCGCCCCAGGCCAGAGCCGCCTGAGGGGGGGGGGGGGTCCTGGGTAGAGCCGCTAGGCAAGACGGGGGGGTCCGCGGTCTCTACGTTTTTTTTAGGCCTTGCGTGCGATTTGTCGTTTTTGCATTTTAATGCTAAGCTGTTATTGATATACATTTTTGTGGACGATGTTTTGTGGACGATGTGGTTTGCTACAAGGCGTTGTGTTAACTTCGAAGGTAGAAGTGTAGAGTTAAAACAAGTTCGTGCGTTTGCAGCTGTTAAATGCCGTGCATTGCGTTCAAGTGTAAACACATTCCCCGTCAGAGTCAAGTTCACGCGGCCCTGAAATGGCTTATTTCGCAACTTATTGTAAGATTATAACGAATCCAAATGTCCAATGATGTTTTTATTTATTATTTGGTGATGCTCATGTGGCTTTACAAAGGGGAAGAAAAAAAATAGTCGACGTTTCAGGCGATGATCCTCATTTCATACAAAGGCGCCGGGGACACCCAATAACAATACGCATAACACTGGTCAACACACGTGTTTCTGGCACAAGGTATTCCAACGGGTTTAATGTAATTTTGGGGTGCTGATTCCAAATCTGGCATCAGTTTTTGTCTATCGCATCAGGTTTTTGAGATATTAAATATTGCATTTTCAATAAAAACTGCAGAAGAAAAATATTAAATAAATGTGGATATCTACACCAAATGATATTATAAACACACTATCCAAAAATACAGCACCATGTTTTAACACTAAAGCAGTCACTGACTCGCAACAACTTGCAATCATAAGTGACAGAGTTAATTTCGGGTAAAATCAATGATAACGGGGTATGCCGATAGCATAGAAATGAGATGTAATTGGGTTTTGTTTTCTTCTGAAAACTCTACTGGATTTTGTTTTGTATCTCTTGTCAGTAAGGCATCGAATGTTGTAACCCAAAATAAGTTTTGGAGAACACACACTTATCTCTTTCAGTGAGCCAGGCCTCTCGTATGAATAATCATTTACAGCGGCCTTTTAAACATTAAAGCCCATCGCTAAACATACACCTCTGTACAGGTATTAATATTCTGTTTCCACGAAAGCAATTTATACATCTAGAGGCAAGTCCTGCGGTCTGGATAACCAGCAGTTTAACAGCCATGGACACTGGCGCTTGGTAATGTGTTTTTTTTTTCATGGGCCGTGACTTCTACGAAATGGACGTGCGGATTGGCTCATTGGAACAACACCCCCTTTTTCCATTGGTTGGCAATGACAAACAAACCATTTTTGCTGATGACAGATTTAAATGAGAACCACGCTTAAAGACTATGCGATTCATTAACTATTAGTCAAGCGAATGCGCGTGCTGCACTATAAATCTGGCCTTCCAAGTTTCCAGCCATGGCTAACATCAGTGGCAAGTGCTCTCCGAACCACTCGTGTGGCCTGGCGTGACCCACCCGCACTGACCGGTGTGGTGAAGTATAGTCAAAACAACCCATATGACCCACACGGTGTGACAAGGCCTTCATCCAGTAGTGTGCTGTTTTGATAAAGGACTGCAGATTCGGTAATGCTCAATTATTTAACTGTGGGGGTACATGGTCCAGCACACTGTTCATAACCCACATACATTCATTTAAATTACCGGTCATGGCTAGCATCAGTGGTGAGTGACATAAAAAACAAACTCAGCTCGTTCCCTCCCGGACCCGAACTGACCCAGCTACGTGCAGTACAGTCAACTCGCATGACCCTACACATCGCGGGGAGACCTTCACCCATTTGTGTTTTGACAAACGTAACTATTATTAACCTGTGATGTGCCTTTTTTCTGTTTTTTTTCTTTGCAGGGAGTCCACGCTGCGGCAAGGCTGTACTCCTCTGGAGCTGTGAGTACGACTCCTCGTACACTTATCTCGCAGTGTGCCTACACAACAGAGTTTCCCCCACTACTGGACAAGAACAACTAGGGAAAGGAAGTCGTAAAAGAATTTGGAACAGGGGCTTTGCCTTGCAGTGCGAAGTTACAGGCCGGTGATGACGGTTTGCTTGTTGTATAATGCTCTCCTTGCAAAGCATCCCAGGGTTATTTGTAATAATACTTTAAAAAGCCATTTCACAATCCTGCTCAAATGTAATCTCGCATGGATTATTAAAATTGTATTTAAATATTTCAATGTGTTGGCATTCCTGATATCACTCGGAAGAGTGAATAATTATGTGGACCCCTTAATTGTATGCCATAGGTCAAAATAACACTGGTGTTATAAATGCATTACACGTGTTATACATTTACACGTCCAATTTTTTTTACCTTTTAAAAAGTTTCATTTATTGAATGAGATTTCATTTAGTTTGGCTTAAAGTATTATCTAAATGTTCTCAAATGTTTCTGCCTGAGGGCAGACTCATGCCTCAAGTTCACCCAAACCCATCTCACTCCCCCCCTGCCTTCCTTACAACACCCAACTTCATGCTCGAATTCCTGAGCCATTCGGGAAGGAAAGTTGCCTTCCTCAGCGACGTGTTTGTTAGGTGATCACATAACGTCATACCCGGGAATGATATACTGCTTTGTAGGTACGATCACACGCACACACTGAACGGATGCTTTTAACAGTGGTGTGTGCGATGCAAATGGTTCATGGATCATGCATGCACTCTCCTGTACGTTGTGCGTGTCTCTCCAAAGCCAACCACAAAGTTGTTCATCGACGGAAAGTTTTTCGACTCCACCACCTCAGAATGGCTGGATGTGCACAACCCAGTAAGTGGTTTAATTAGTTGCATGTTAGTGCATACCTGGAACATGACCCACAGCTTGCTTGTGCGTCGCATTACTTGCACAAATACGCACAAGCAAGGGAGTTGTACGCTCAGACATTTACATCTCTCACTCGAAATCTTTCACCCCAATGCATCGTCACCATCATCATCATCGGCCATGACCAATCCACTGCTGGATGAAGGCAGCCTTCTCAATCCGTCCGCCGTTCGTCACGATAATCATCCCAGCATCTGCACACGAGCTGAACTCAGCACTCCATCTCCATAGTGGGTCTCCTCTCGGGCCCATCGCCCTCCTCCGTTGGCTGCTACTCAGTAATTATTCTCGCCCACCCGCCATCATCCTTTCAAGCGGCATGTCCTTCCCAAGCCTACTTGCTTGTTTTGAGTTCTAACCTGTGTATTCACTCCAATCCATGCATTCCTCTTTCTGTGTCTTCATGAAATTCCAAACCTGTACTTTTCCCATGCTTCCTTGTGTACTTGAAAACTTCTGTACCATTATACTGTACAGTCACTCCAATGCATATTTTTTTAATTGCAAAGTTGACTTTGCAACGGGACTGTCTGAGCAAGCACATTTTATGATCTTCATATGGACTTGGCACTGAACCCTTTGAAAGTTGGCTGTGAAATCTACTCTGGGAGCATTAAATAAAGATGAGGCAACTCTGGTATGATGGGGATGCAAACGGCTCGATGAGATTAGATAAGTATTGTAATTTAATGAATTAATATTCTTCGCTCAGCTGTCGGCTGGAATATGTGGTTACAGAACTCTAAAAGCTGGAGGGCACGTGTTGGTGTTCAAGGTTAAGCTGAACTCTGCCGCTGTTATTAAAAAGTAACCGTGTAATAATTTTCCATCCTTCCACAAATATTTACATTGTGACAATTCGTGGTTCGCGATTCGATTCAATAATCGAATCCTGTTTGTCGTGCTTTCTGGTGCTGGAAATTCCACGTTATTTTGTGATAGGTGACCAGTGTCTTTATGGAATAAGCAATGTTGATAAAAATGTATCAACCCCTGCTGAACCCATTCCAGAATGGGATTTGAACTTGTGAGTTTCTGATTGTTTAATTCTAGATTTGAAGTTTTCGTGACTGCAAGGATCCATACTTTTTGGTTCTTTCGGTAAAGTTTATTATTTGTATTATTTTCACCTACGTGACTTTACCGAAAGAACCAAAGAGTTTAACACGTAGGCTTTTGCGACCAATATTATCCATAATAGAGGTTTTTGGGTTAGATCACATAAATATAAATGTCGTAAAACCCGCCTCCAACCAACGCAGCCAATTAGTAAGGTTTGTCGCGAAACAAAACATGGCAATTCGTTCCTAGTACAGCACACCGGTGTGTTGGAGAGTAAACCCACAACAGGAACATTTCGAGTACGACATTTCACCAGTAATTAATTTCGTCAGTAACTACAACCAGCCTCATTAGGCTTGTCGCTTGTCGAGGTTGTAATTACTGGTGAAATGTCGTCCTCGAATTGTAAATGTTGTGGGTTTACTCTCCAACACACCGTAGTAACTAATTGGCATGTTTTGGTTACGTGACAAACCTTACTGATGTGTCAGGTGGTGGCAGGTTTAACGACACTTACATGTTCATGATCTAATGCAAAAAAACCTCTGTTCTGATTGTTAGTTGAGGTAATTAATTGCAGCACTGCCTGCTCTTCATTATCAATCCATTCTATCCGCTGCTGGATGAATTCCTCATACCATTACCACCTCTCACGGCCTTGCAGTTCCATTATGTTGCTTTTTCATGCACTTTTCTGCTCCCGTATCGACCTTCGTCGGTTTAACGCGCCGGCGACGCTTCGGTGAACGCCGCGATTTCAGGCCACGAACGAGGTGGTGACGCGCGTGCCCAAGGCGACGCTCGCCGAGATGAACACCGCGGCGGAGTCGTGCCAGCGCGCCTACGGACCGTGGTCGGAGACGTCGGTGCTCACACGCCAGCAGGTCTTCCTCAAGTACCAGCAGCTCATCAAGGACAACATTGTGAGTTCGCCGTTCCACGGCTGTCGTGCCGAAGCCACACTGTCGTGCAGCTCCCCTAGGCAGTGGCGGCTCCTGCAAAATCTCTCAGGGGGGGCAAATGTCTGGATGATTTATAAGGATAAGGTCCACCCATGCAAAGGATAAATTAACAGCTTAAGCATGTAAAGGCAACTTCACTTCTTTAATATTAATGAAAAATAAAGTGACTCTTACAATACATCTTGTTTGTTTCTATACTCACTATTAATACAATCCACTCAAATTTCTTTTATTAAAGATTCCACTAGGTGGCGACAAATAATATTGTTGGATGCAACGTGCTTACGTATGATGACGTAAGCATGTTAGTGCGAGCCCTCCCGGAAGCATAGAGAATGCATTGCAGCGCCCCCCGTTCGAAAAAAAACATCTTTGAATGTAAGTCTATGGGACCACTCTGGGCGATTCTCAGCCGGAGTGAAATCGCCCAAAAAGAGGCGGTACTCCACAGAACGGGACATGACGCTGATTGGACTATATCCAGAGGCACAGTGACGGCTAGCGTGACTCTGTGGTTGAATGACATTGGTGGTGCGTCGCCCAATCGCCCTAATGAAGAAACCGCCCCTGCCCCTAGGGGTGGATAACGGTTGAGGTCACTTGTATTGGTCTCTTCACCCTTTCCCGTACCGAGACGTCTGCAAGTGGTAGGGTGGGTTTCCGTTCACCGCTGAACGCGCAAGCGTTTAGCGTCAATTTCATTTAGGGAGGCGTACCACCGTTTATTTTTAAGACATTGTTACCGTACTCACCGCAGAGAACTCAAGCGGCATGACCTCACTGGGTGATAGCTGGCGCCAAACTGTGTTCTTCTACACCCTCCCGCGTGGCCTTGTGGGAGCCTCGGTACGTCTTCCAACCTGGAGACGTACCGATAAAGTTATTATTTTATACATGTACGCGTACATTATCAGAACGGAATTGTAAGAAACACTGAAGACATACACATACGTCATCGGAATGGGAAAGGGTTATAAGTAGTTCCATGATATTTGCTTCCACCGGCTATTCTCTAACATTGGGTGTTCTGCATGAACATTTGTCCTCAGTGATATGATGCTGATATCACCATTGGAATAACATTGGGGAAATGGTTTAAAAAAAAAAGAAACAAACTGTGAAAACAAGCAAAGCTCTAACCATTGCCACACATTTGAAGCCAGCTGTTGCGGGATTGTTTCCGATATATGTCTTAAGATGCAGTCGCATTTAGGCGCGAAAAAGTCCAAATTGTATTGTATTATAAACGTAGACCCGTGTGTGCGTGTGGCCTCGTTCAGAAAGAACTGGCCAAGGTCATCACAAAGGAGCAGGGCAAGACGCTGGCGGATGCGGAGGGAGATGTGTTCCGAGGGCTGCGTGAGTCTCCTGCCCTGATGCACTCACCGCTTCAATATCATGCCGAGTGTGTGTTGTGTTAAGATCGGCACTGGTAAGACAAAGGTGTCCAGGAATGCTGTTTGCCACACCATCCCCTGGTGTGGCACTACGGCCTTCATAGGTGCTCGCTAACAGCACGTACCCCCCCACCAGCCTGTGTAGGCCACACGAGGGGTGGATCTTTTGTCATTTGTGTGCGCGTGTTTGTTTGAGCGGTCCGACACTGCTGCCCACAGAGGTGGTGGAGCATTGCTGCAGCATTACCTCGCTGGTCCTGGGCGAGACCCTGCCGTCGATCGCGCGCGACATGGACAGCTACACGTACCGCTTGCCGCTCGGCGTATGCGCCGGCGTCACGCCCTTCAACTTCCCGGCCATGATCCCGTTATGGATGTTCCCCGTGGCGCTCGTGTGCGGAAACACGTTCCTGCTCAAGCCGTCGGAGCGCGTGCCGGGCACCGCCATGCTGCTGGCGCGACTCCTGCAGGACGCCGGCGCCCCCGACGGAACGCTCAACATCATCCACGGACAGCACGACGGTACGGGACCTCGCGCACGCCGCGCTTGCACGCGTGCGGATGTACGCGTGTCTGTATTTGCGTGTGCTTGTGTGTAGCCTGTATGTCCAGCCACCACACACCTAAACAGGTTTTGTTCGGCCTGATAGAGGGTGCTAATCGGGCGCGGCACGGGCTAGAGAAGAGATGGAGTGATGTGGTACAAGAGGATGTGGAGCTGAGTGGACTTGCCGATGACTGGTAGCAGCGGTGTCAAAATCGGCCTCTGTGGAGGAGGCTCGTGAAGGACGTTACTGGACAGTTGGAGGCAGTCGCTTTCCAGCAACAACGGAGGGCAGAGGAGCGACGCTCACAACAATGAGCGGAGCGCCGGGTGGCTAAAATACAGCAAGTTGGCACAGTAGGGAGCACAGGTGGTGCATCCAATGGCGGAGCCACGATTTTCAGGTAGGGGGGGCAACCCCTCCAGCAATGAAAAATGATAGGAGTTGTTAGTAAGTAAGGACTTGTCCCTTGCTTTTTATTCGACGCGTGTGCCGCGATGGCGCAGTCATCGATCGAGGGTCGAATTCGAACCGCGTTGTGTGATCGGCATCGCGCTCGCTGAAGGTGAATGCCTTCAGGGAAGTTGTGTACTGTATACGCAACTGCGCACAATTCTGAGTCACTTATAACTGCTTTGCCGTTACTTATTGCCAATTATGGACTCAATAATAAGCTACACAGTGGCAGTGGGGGTCGCAAAATGCCGATTTATTACTAATAAACCTCAATTAGGAATTTCGATCGGATCATTGGGGGGGGGCACGTGCCACCCCACCCCCCCCACTGGCTCCGCCAGTAGGTCCCTCGACCAGTCATCGCAGTCAATCAACCCATGGCACCCGGGTCTGTCCCATGACCTCCTGCCAGTAAGCGTTCGACATTTTACGTGGCCTTAAAGTGCATTGTAGCCCGGCACAAGCGCCGTGGTGACGTCCACCGCCACTTAGTGGCGAATGGCGGTTGTTGTCTGTATGGGGAGTGGGTAGTGCAGTGGTTAGCACGCTGCACTTTGAACCCGGCCAGCCGAGTTAGAGTCTCGCTCGCGAACAATAACGGCGGTGAATATCTGAACCAATCGTGGACTTCCCCTCAACTGAGTACCTGGTGCGAGATGTAAATATTGCCACTAGGGAGACAAAGGTGGGTGGACGTGGTCCTGGCCACCCATCCCTTCATGTCCTCTTCTGACTTTCATAGGTTTCCACTATAACAGCACTTGCCCCAAATGTCTGTTGAAGACTATATGGGAGGGGTATTTGTATGTGTGTGTGGAACTGGAGCGGTAGCGTAGTGGTTGATGCAATGAGTTATGAACGCGATTCAATTCCGTGGCAACGGCTAATATTTTTTACGAATATCTGAAGCGGTCACCGAGGTGGATTTGAACCTTTATTTTGTACCTGGTGCGTTGTGCAAACATCGCCACTGGGGAGACGAAGGCGACCGGGCGTAGTGTTAGCCCACCACACCCTCGGGCGCCTTGTTGGCCTTAATACGAACACATTGATGACACTTGCCCTCATAGTCTGTCTTTGTGTATGTGGAATACGGCATAGTGATTAGTGCATTGATTCCCAGCCATGGAAAATATCCAAACTAGTCCAGGGCCTCGCCTAAGCCACTGAAACAACGGCAACGCCTTTACATGAAAGCCTGCTTGTTATCACACTCTCCCCGTGTCATTATTGCACGTGTGTGTCTATGCTTCTTGACAGCCGTGAAGTTTGTGTGCGACCACCCGGCCATCAAGGCAATCAGCTTCGTGGGCTCCAACCAGGCCGGGGAGTACATCCACACCCGCGGCTCTGCCAACGGCAAGCGCGTACAGTGCAACATGGTGCGTTGGTCTCGCAGTCCTCGTTACTGTCTTATATATTTTAAAAAATACCAATTTTCTCCCCAAAGTTTAATAAGGATGCATGTGCACGATTACATGCCTTACTCTTGCGTGCATTTGTACACGCGTGTGCGCGCTTCTCTGCGCACATTTCCCTTGCACGGTTGAATGCTCCGATTGAGTCCTACAAGAAAGCAGGAGAGGATCGTGTAATGGATGGGCGACAACTTGGGGCTTTTTTTTTTGCCCAATATTATCTTAATTGTGCTATCGGTGTCGCGTCAGGAAACGAAGAATCCATTCTCCAACACGACCCCCTTTGTGTTAGAGTACAGCACACCGAAGGGGCGATCACTCTGAGATCCCTTCAAGTGACCTAATTTCGACGCTGCATGGGGCAGCACTTTCCCACCCGCTCTGCCGAGAGGAATGTTCATCGCAGTGCGGGCTCGAAAGCATTTTCAAAGAGGTTGCTTAATAGCAATGGAGATATCTTGCACAAATAAAAATTCTTAAAAAGAATAAGGGTTGGAGTTGGGGGGTGCTGCAGTAGCATAATTAAAACGCAGTCGCAAAGTTTGTTATGAATGCTGCTGGACGGACGGACCGACGGATGCACGAGCATACGAACGACTCGCGCGAACGATCGACCAAGAGGCCCGCGTTCGTTTTGCCGCTGAACCCGCGCAGGGAGCCAAGAACCACGGCGTGGTGATGGCGGACGCGAACAAGGAGAACACGCTGAACCAGCTGGTGGGCGCGGCGTTCGGAGCGGCGGGCCAGCGGTGCATGGCGCTGTCCACCGCCGTCATGGTGGGGGGGGCTCGTGATTGGCTGCCCGAGCTCGTGGAGAGAGCCAAGAAGCTGCGCGTCAATGCCGGTACGGGCCTGAAATGCAGTTTGCTGTATGGTGACTTTACCGAAAAAACCTAAGAATATGAATCCTTGCAGTCACGAAAGCTTCAAATCTAGAATGCAGTTTGCTGTGCTATTGTGGCTGCGTGCGCGTGTTCAGTAGGCGCTCGCTCGCAGCACTTGCCCAGTCTTGTTAAGGCTATGCCGTGGATCTGTTTTTTTGTCAGGAGCAGAGTCTCCCAAATCAACAGTCCCTAACTCTACTGCTATGTCACCAATCGGCCCCACTAAAACAAAGCGCATGCCTAGGTTTTTTATGTCGACAAACACTGTACCACCTCATGAGTAACGAGGCAGTTTTCAGATACAGTGGAGGAATTTCCATACCTGGGCAGTGTGCCTATGACGAGTTCCGGTTTGGTAGCGGAGGTTTCACTTTGAATCTGTAGGACAGGCTTATCTTTTCATGGGCAGCATAACCTCGGAGGCTGCCAGACCTATTGCTGAACACGACTGACCAGTGTTGGAAATTTGACATTCCCACGGTGTGGGGGGGGGGGTACAACTCGGCAATGCAAACCAGTATTGCCTCTCCACAAAGAGAAGGAACCCTTGACCTTCACTACCCCCCCCCCCCCACTGTGTGTGTTTCTCTGCTGCTACATTGGGCGTGGGTCAGAGGTCGCAAACGGGTTTTGATTCCTTACCCGTACCCGGCCGCACCAGGGTCGGAAACGGGTACCCGTACCCGTACCCGGCCGTACCCGTACCCTACCCGTACCCGGCCGGGTACGGGTAGGGTACGGGTATCGGGTACCTGATTGCGACCTCTGGGATGAAGCCATGTCGCAGGCGCGGGTGTGTTGATTCTAGGAACTTGAATTGTGAGAAGAGACCAGACGTTGGGAAATGAGTGACAAACAGTTACTCGCCAGTGACTCGCGGTCTACCCATACCCGCACCCGGCCGCACCAGGGTCGCAAACAGGTATCGGGTAGGGTACGGGTATCGGGTACCCGGTTGCGACCTCTGGCGTGGGTGGATCGTTTGTCGATGGGCGCAGGCGACCAACCCGGCGCCGACCTGGGTCCCTTGATCTCGCCGGAGGCGAAGGCGCGCGTCTGCGAGCTGGTGGGCAGCGCCGAGAAGGAGGGCGCCCGCATCATTCTGGACGGGCGCAAGGTCTCGGTGAAGGGCTACGAGAGCGGCAACTTCGTGGGGCCGACCATCATCACCGGGGTCAAGGTGAGGACGAGACGGGAGTTGGCAAGGGGTGGGGGGAGGGGGGGAAGACTGTTCAACCATCTGGGTGAAACGTTAACCTCGTCGCTCACGTCCTCGTTTATTTGCCTTCATGCTGTTTTCAGTCAAGGCTGGATTGGACAAATTGAGCCGAGGGGATTTTTTATCTTTGAAATGCGAATGCCAAGATTGTCACTTTGTGTCATTATCCACTTGTGTTGAACTTCTCTACCGCACCATACGTAGCAAACCGTGCTAATCAGGAGTTCGGCAGTTTCGAGCAGTTATCAAATTAGTTTGTGTCGCGTTGAAAGGACACGCTGCGGTCTTTGCGGCCCTCCAGCTCCTTCCGTGGCAACAGTCGTCGCAGCTCCACAGTCGTGAAGTTTCCATCTTCTTCGCGGCGACGGTAACCAATTTGCGTTAACTCCCGTGTGGATGTTCCCCCCCCCCTCCCCCGCGCGTAGCCGCACATGAAGTGCTACACGGAGGAGATCTTTGGGCCGGTGCTGCTGGTACTGGAGGCCGATTCCCTTGACGAGGCCGTGAGCGTCATCAACAGCAACCCCTACGGCAACGGCACGGCCATCTTCACCAACAACGGCGCGACTGCGCGGAAGTTCACGCACGAAATTGACGTGGGCCAGGTGAGAGGATGCTAACCTCACCCCCCCCCCCCTCGCAAAGGATTTAGTGATATGGATGGAACTAAGCTAGAGGCGATGAAGCGTTTCGTCAATTTGAAATTAATTTTTGTGATCGTGATGCGTGCTTCCAATCGCGTGCTTGTTAAGAGTGGACGTTGACTGTTTTTGATTGAGTGCGTTGTTTCTAATTGGTTCACGTTTACCCTCCGAAGCTGTAACTGGAGGAGCTGCCGTTCACTGCCGTGTGAAACGGAAATAGATTCGCGAATCGAATCGCAAACCCTGAATCACGACGATTCTTTGCAAGCAACGATACATCGGTTGAATTATTTCACTCGCAGTGCATGCAGTTCTTACAGTTATGCTTAACAGTCGTCAAATTGAGTATAAGAATAATTTATTTCCAATTTATGCATATTATTAGCAAATTATATTACTGTTAGTGGCTCGTGGAGTGAGTGAAACTGCACGCAATATATAAAAAACGTAACTTTACGAACGAGATTTTTTAAAAATCACAACAAAATTTGAATCGAATCGTCGCCCTGAAACGCGAGACATTGGGAATTGCCGTTGCGTTTGAATGCTTAAATACCTGCTGCACATTCGACATCGGTTATCGCAGGAACTGATACGTAAACTCTTTTTTGTCCCTACTCCCAAGATCGGTATCAACGTCCCGATTCCAGTGCCGCTGCCAATGTTTTCCTTCACCGGCTCCAGGGGTTCGTTCCGTGGGGACGTGAACTTCTACGGCAAGCAGGTAGACGACTCTCGCCGCGTATCCGTGGTTTTTAAAAAATTTGTCACGTCGGTTTCAAAAAAAAAAGTGACTCGTTCGTCATCACAAGAACGTCGCTCCCATTTTGAACACCGGTTACCCTAAGGCTGTTGTGTTCTGGGCTATATCTGGCTTGAGTTTGAAGTTTCCCTGATGAGAAAATATGTTTAACTGGCTTTGAGGTATATCACCACACCACCTTGTAGTGACACCATCGCGGGTGTGACTGTTGCAAATTTGCAATACAAAATCAATGCAGCAGCATTGCTCACACACTTAGGTTTTTGGCACTTTCCAGAACACGTTCCTTCGAAGTGGGCAGGTAGGAACTTGGTTGGACAGCGCATTCGTGCGATCCGTGTCACGCGGCGCAAGCTGCGTGGGGCGGCGCGTCACGTGGTGCTGAGCCCGCCCAAAGCGCTCTATGAAATACAAATCAAGGGCGTGGCTATGCACGACAGACACAGACAAATAATCCCTGGTGGGCAGTGAGGAACTGTTAATTCCTCCCTGTATAAAGCTGAGCGTTCATGCTTGAGCTCTGTAACAGGAGGCACGGGCTCTCGTAATGATTACGTTGGAGAGCCCGAGATGCATAGCCTAGGAGATGTATCTGCAAAAGTATGTTTATTTTTCGGGTTGCAGATTTAAATCGGGGGGCGGGGGAGGGCCGCTCTGATCTACTGTTAATTCACATTGGACATGACTAATTGGTCCTCCGGAGGGATAACTTTCCCCACCCATACGTTAAAAGATCAAGAATTTGTTTTTCTTTATTCCGTTTGTTCTCACTAACCTCGGCCGTGTGCGTGTGCGCGTGCACAGGGCTTCCAGTTCTACACGCAGCTCAAGACGGTGACCGCACAGTGGAAGGCAGAGGATGCAACGGAGAGAGTTCCCACCGTGAACATGCCAACCATGGGCCGGCAGAATGTCTAACGGGGTGGGGGGGGGCCCCCCTCGTGCCATGTGACCAGCAAAGACCGTGCACGTGACCCGATTCCTCTCCTCAGCGTGCCTCGCAAGGCAATGTTGAATAATCCTTGCCAGGACCTTTCCCGGCACACTGAGGACTGAAATGCCCCTGTAGTTGTTACAGTCTGTGTGGGTCCCCCTTCTTGAAGAGGGGGACCACCAGGGCATCCTTCCAATCCTGCGGAACCCGTCCAGTGGTCCAGACTGTTGTTATGATGTCATATAGGGCAGTCTGTGCACAAACGCCACCCTCCCTCAGCATTTCGCTTGAGAGATCATCTCGGAAGTGCAATGTCGCAAACCAAACCCCATTAGTGGAACGAACCCTTACGTGACCGTGTCATGTTTTTCCTGTAGGCTCACATGAAGAGGGTATGGGAGAGAAACGAAATGTATCTTGAACGTGGGTTATCTGCAAAGGCACAAGTCTGTAATGCCGCCAGCACAGAAATTTGTGCCGGCGCAAAGGAAGTTTTTTTTATTTCATTTTTCAAGATCTATATCAACACTTCTCCGTGGGGCCTTAATCATTGATTTTTGACACAAGCGGAATTTCAAAGCCGTCAATTTTTAACGTCCGATTTTCAATACTCATTTTGGTCTCATCTGTACATGTCAAAATAAACCTCTCAAATGTGATTTGTGTGAAACGGTGACGGTTCGTGCGTTGTGACACTAAGGGCTCTTCCAAAAAACTTTTAAAGACATGGCCAAACACATTCCTGCGGAGGGAGCTGGTAGGAACGTTGGGTTGCTCGGTCAATGGCCAGGGTCAACGGCGGCGTGGTGTATTCCGCAAATATGCCCGACTGTGAGGGCGGGCACAAGCCGGCGTGAGTAGGTTAAACGTTGAGTTTTATAAGAGCACCACGGGGTGACCAGCTCCTCCCCACCCAGCCCCTCCCCACCGCTCACATTTTTGGATGCACGACGGACACAATAATCCCCTGTGGGCTGGTGGAACCAGGAGGTTCCTACCAGTATAAACTTTTCTCTTATGTTTTCTTAAAATCACTCTACAAATTGGCAAACTAATTTATTACCGACCCAAATTAAATAACTCCACATATACTGTCGTTTTCAACTGTTTATTTTGTCACTATCACGCCTTCAACACAATTGCTACAAACAAAACATGAACACATCATTGTCGGACGTCACCTGTGACCAATTATTTTAAGCCACTCCAACCGTAATTGCTGATTTCGGCTGCGAATGAGATTTTCATTTTTAGCCGGGCGTTTGCCTATACACGTGGCCTGGAATCATCCAGCATTTGTGAAGGAAGCCAGGGCTGGTGGGGGATCGCACGAATGTTGTTGTTCAACTCCCTTCTTCCCGTGGGTGTCAAGGTTGCCATCACCCTGTCTCTCCAGAAGGCAGTTACAGCAAGTAGACGAATCGCCATCTGCTTCCGTCTGTACAGGGATGCAGTGTTTCTCCCTCGCGCATAAGCGCTCATTAATTAGCTGAAAACAATCTTAAAATAAAAAACCCAAATGCAGGACCCTCTAAAAGTCGGTGTGGCTTTCCTGGATAAATAATTATAGGATCAGCTGGTTCAGTTACTAACCTGTTCAGATACCCTTAAGCACCTAGGGTTTTTATGTTCAAATGTTTCCGTATTTTAATTTTCAACTCCACATTTACTTGGATCCCCAAAAATGCACTTAACGCTCAAGTTAATGTAACATTTATTGCCAATTATTCTGCCACTAATTCCCCATGTCTCTATTAAAACTGTCTTTTACACTAGATAGCATTGGGCCAAGCTGCAATCTGCTTGTTAATCAAGGCTCGCAATGAAATAAATAACATTCCAAGTCCTTCCAGACTAAGTTGCATTAAGCCGCTGATGGATGCCAACTGGTATCTTCAACAAGATTGTTTAATTTAATCCCAATTCGTAACTGCATGTTCTTTTAATCAAAAACTACTTTGTAAATTTACAAATTGATATGAAGTTGGACAAAAGCAAACGCGCTGCTGCGACTCCAGCCTTGTGCTATAGCGTCCCCCCTTGCTGCAATCTAGTTCATGATGAAACGGCCACAGCTCAAGAGAGTGAGTAAAATCAAGAAGCTTATGCATCCTTTGAAACGTAAAAACCTGCAGAGCGAGCATCGCCAGCGCACCTGGCATGACCGCTGGCGACACGCGCTACGCAACAAACCCACACCACCCATCGCCGAGAGACGGCGGTGAAATATTTGGAACGCTCCCAAAGTGCGGTAGATTTTCAAACGTCTCGGCATGCGACGCCGGCTACGATTTTCTTGTGCGGTTCAGCCCAGCCGAAATATTTTTGCAAAGGTTCCATTTCGAAACTGTGCTTTCTTTAAACAGCCGTCAACTAAAACCAGGATTAACGAAAACCCCTCCCCCAAACCCCCCCCCAAAATGACTTAGGACACCATAAATAGATTATCCACCTCTAAAGTGCAACACAGGCTCTGACTGCGAGTAAAAACGTTTGCTACTAATCTGTCGGTGTAATGAGCGTGCATGCAATATTATAGAACGGTATTGTTTCTTCCACGTCACGGGACGGTTGGACGTCCTCACAGATGTAAGGAGACAGGCACACGGGGATTAGGGGCGGGAGAGGAATCGTGGCCCAACGCTGGCAACATGTTCGTCGTCAATGGGCAGAGGGAGAGCGAGTCAGAACTTGTCAAACTTGTCCATGGGGTAGTGCTCTCCATAGATCTTGACGTGGCGTCTCATCTCATCCATCTGCCGCTGGATGTGCGGTGTCATCTCCTTGTACACGTCGTGGAAGAGCTCCGAGGGGCTCGGCTTGAGTCGTTTCTCCGCCTTCTCGAACGCCTCCAGGACCTGCGGCGCGCGGAACGAAAGTAAGCGCGACCCCGAGCGATACGACGCTGGAAGATTCGGAAACCAACACGGGAACATTACTCCCTTATCCAGGGGCGACGTGGGGAAGGTGGTTCTTGACGGATCTAATTATTACACATCTGCAGAAATGACTCCCGTTGTTAACACATACGCGCGTCTGTTCATGGGCAATTCGCAGAAGATGAATTTGCCACCGCTCGGCAGCGTGGTGTGGCGCGGCTAGCACGGGCCCTGGGTGCAAGGAATGTACGTACGTATGTATGATTTGTACGTATGTACATATGTTCAACTTCTTTCGCACCGTACGTTAGCCAACTGTTAATCGGAGATGCTGGGAAAGGACAACAAACTAGAAAGCAAGTTCCAAAGAGATTCAACGAAACAGGGCGAACCGCCTGTCCCAATTTACCCCCCCCCCCCCCATTCTTCGTAGCCGGGGCACCTACGCCCCAAAAAGAGAAAAACGATACCCATACAGCGGTTGGCTGCAGGCGAAACGGAGCTGGTGGTGAAGCAGTGTGGCTCTCACGGGTGTGGGCGTGTGTGTGTGTGTGGGCGTGTGTGTGTGTGTGGGCGTGTGGGCGTGTGTGTGTGTGTGGGCGTGTGTGTGCGTGCGCGAACGCGGTACCAGCTTGCGCGACTGCTTGCGCCAGTCCTTCTCCAGCGAGTCGTTCCACATGCTCTCGCGGAGCATGTAGTTGCGCAGTCGCGAGATCGGGTGGTCCTGCTTGTCCCAGTAGTTGACCTCGTCCACCGAGCGGTACGCCGAGCTGTCGTCGCTTGTGCTGTGGTGCCCGATCCTGAGACGCGCCCATCGCAGTGTGCAACTCGCGTTTAAGTCAACAAATATATAACAACAACAACACAGGCAGAAACAATCACAGACACCCCTCTATCAAGAGAGCAAAGCATTATCTCCCCACCTCTTTCCCCCTCTCCCCAGGCCTTCCCTGAGTGTGTTGGTTATTATTCTCCCCCCTGCCTGTCTCCCCTCCCCATTTAAATCTATTTCCCCCCCCCCCCACAAGGTCCCCACTTGGATGAAGCAGTGGGGGGGGGGGGGGCACCCTGCCCCCCTTCGTTTCGCCCCCTTTAACGTGGTCCAGCCACGCCGGAATGGACGTTTGCGGATTTTGTATCCTGTCATTGGTATCTCCCGGTGTGTGGTTTTGGCCGGGCCCCGCATGTTGCTGCAATGAAAATATATAATAAAAATACAAATATAACAAAGGCATTGTGACGTACGTTTGTCCTCTCCACCAACCTCGGCAGTGGCTCGGGAGGCGGGAGGAAGGAGGCGCTCACCGGTAGGTCATGGCCTCGATGAGCGTGGGCTGGTTCTCACTGACTGCACGCCTCCGTGCCTCCCGCGTGGCGTTGTACACGGCGAACACATCGTTGCCGTCCACGCGGATCGACAGGATCCCGTAGCCCGGGCCCCGCGCCGCTGCGACGGACGTCACACGCTCGTTAACCCCTTTCCTGTTCCGATGACGTAATCGGCTTTTATAACGTACGTGTGTACGCCATCAAAAATAACGCGGGAAAAAAATAAAATTACTTTATCGGTACCGAGGCTCCCGCAAGACCATACGGGGAGGGCTTGTGGCACAGTTTGGGGCTAGCTATCGTAGAGTTCGGTGCGACGGTGTCTCTGCGGTTCTCTGCGGTGAGTGACAATGTCTTTAAGAACAACGGCGCTACGTCTCTCTAAATAAAATTAACGCCGAGCACCTCGCGCGTTCCGAGATTCAGAGGTGAACAGGACACCCCACCCTGAACAGGAAAGGGTTCATAATAACAACGGGGGGGTGGGGGGAGGGAAGCCTACATTGGGATGCCTGGAAGACAAGCCGAAGCGCACACGAGAGGGGGTAGTACTGAAGAGCATCATCTCAATCTTCCCAAAGTTTTTAGTTGGTGTATATTACACCGGCTGTGACACGAGTCAGAAACATGGACCAAGAAAATGGAACAAAGTCTGAAGAGAGTGCAAAAAATAAAGCACGGAGAGGTTCACGGATGGACTTGCATTCAGAGAGAAAGGCTTCACGACCCAATTGCTGTACCACCGCGTAGCCCAATGGGGTTGGGAGTTTTACAAATCTCTACATTATCTACCAACACTTATATTTAGAACACAGTTTGGATTCAAATAGAGTGTAAATGCGGCTTCATCTTAAGGCGCTGTAAAACAAAAACTGGGCTTATTCATACGGAGAGAGGCAGTCGGTCACAGGCATATGAATAAAAGAGGAAGATATTGAGGCCATCCTTGAACAAGGGCAGGCAGTCAGCAGCATGCATAGCAGGGGAAAAGCATTTCTGGACGATGGGGGCTCTACAATTGGTGGCTCACACTGTTTGATCATCGGCGTGCGCCACGGCGATTGTAATCAAGAAACGTGCAAGCGTGGCGGTGTCTGAGACTGGCATGAAGGCGGGCACAACAAAGTCACTCGGAAGCCAGGCAGGTTTACAGCCAATCAGCCGACGCCATAATGACCACTGCCAAAGCCATAAACTGCTGGCAACTGGTAAAATTAAAGGCTCCTGTAATTACGCATTAAGAAGACCGTGCGCATAACAGGTCTTGTAATTAAATTATTGATCAAACCCATTGACCTATGGATAAAAATTAATATTTGGTGAACTTTTCCTCAAGAGCACGTGTCCGTGCCAATTAAGCGACTCATATTTCCCAGCACCTCCTATTAGCACGGTTGGCTGCATACGGTGAGAATTAAGTTCAACATACATACATCTCGCGTACGTCCTTTTACAATGTGAAAAAGGTTTTGATTAACTTTTACGTTAAGATAAAAGAAACTGGCCACAGATTGTTTTCATTTTGTAACTTAATCGTAAACTGGTTAACCGGACAGATGGAAGCTGGGGTTTATAAACGTTGCAATCTTAAGGAGTGGGACATGGAAGGCTGAATAAATTGTTTGACATGCTTATCGAATTCACTTCGTAAATTAATGTCAAACACATGAACAATGGGAATTGGGAGCACAGATCACGTGATTTGAGCAAAGCTTCAGAGAATTTCACGCAACGTAAAATTACACATATTTAGAACTGCAAGGGCAAAGCAGCAAGCCGTAACCTGCAAGCGCACAGCCTTACGTTAGCATGCAATCCGATTTCTTGTTGTCGAGCACATTTATACTTCGGGGTAGCCTTCCAGCTAAACCGCCGATGTCCGGCTTACCCTGAAGTCCGGCTTTGAGAGGTTTTCTACCGTGGTTTAAAACTCCGTACCGATGCCGTCTCCGCGGTACTGCTCGTCCGTGGGTGTGGAGATCGCGTAGCCGTTGTTGCGGCAGAAGAAGATGACGGGGCACTCGAGCGTGGCGGAGAAGTTGAATCCGGCGTGGGCATCGCCCTCGCTCGCCGCGCCCTCCCCGAAGTAGCAGATCACCACGCGGTCGTTGTTGGCGCGCTTGTAGGCGTAGGCGGCACCCACGGCTGCGTGCGTGCGTGCGTTGTGGGGTGCGGTAGTGCAGCGGTTAGCGCGCTGCTGTGCTACGAACCTGGTGACCCAAGTTCGATTCCTGGTCCTGGGCCTCAACCTAGGTCGACTCAGCCACATTATGAAGAAGTACTTGGTGCGGTGTGTAAAAACATCAGCACTGGGGAGACAAAGGCGGTCGGGCGGTGTGCTGGCCACCATCCCCTCGTGTACCGTGCCGGCCTTCATCGTCGATGCTCACCAACAGCACTTGCCCCAACAGTATGTTAAGGCTATACGGGGGATCTCTGTCTTTGTGCGTCAGAAAAAGAGCGAAGCAAGAATGGCAAAGCGCAAGAAGAGACGGAGTGCGGCCAGCATAATGCACGGCCCCCTTCATCTCTCCACTCCAGTGGCGATGTTTACACATGGTGCCAGCTACTCGGGTGAACACTACCGCGTAAGGTTTTCACGATTGTGCTGCTGCGTAGTTCTCCGACGTCCTTTCGGATTGTACCGCGTGTTGTTCGGCACGAGGCTCGATGTTTCGCTTCACGCGTCGGGAGCTTCTTCAGCAACCGTGGGAAAGCCGTAAATAAGCTCCGAGCACTTGAAACTGGAGCCGGGAAATCAGCTCGTGGGCATGAGTTCGACGGATTGTTTCATCGCAGGTCAATTAGGTACGGCGATGACTTTGAGGGAGACCCTCATCCAGCCCACGTACATGCATTTATAAATCTGTAGGAATTCGGTCCACACGTTTAACCACCATGGATGTGCTTGGAGAAGTACTGACCTATGAAGCTTGGTAAGAATATTAAATTATGATGATGGCAATGAGGTGCAGTGCCCCAGACTCTAAACGAACTATAAACATTTTTTTTTTATTTTACCAGGTAAGGCCCACTGAACGATATAGCTCTTAATTCTAGATTTGAACATAGCTCTTTTTTTAGAAGTAACCTGGCCATCGCAAATGATAGCTTAATGAAGTGGCCTCATCACGTGGACATTTATAGCAGCCAAATACTCAGTAGCTGGCGGTGGAATTTATGGCGGGGTGAGCGGCCGACGCTTCTTCCGAGACTCCAACACTCCCGACACTCACCCTGCGGGATCTGCGTGGCGAGCGGGGAGGAGATGGTGACAAAGTTGAGCTCGTTCGACCCGTAGTGGACGGGCATCTGCCGCCCCTTGCCCGGATCATCCACGTTGCCGTAGCACTGCGACATGAACAGGTCGAGCGGGAAGCCTCGCCACATCAGAACGCCTGGCGAGAACGGCGGTTGCAAGAAGGCAAACAATCGACGGCGGTCATGAAATCGACAAGGGGCGCGGGGTGAGATCCAAATCATTTATAAAACAAGTGACATTATGAAGTTTTTTTTGGGGTGGGGTGGAGTGGTGGCAGATTGCTTTTGTATTCATCACAAGCAATGGGTTAGAGTTAGGGTAGGGTCATAGGCATTGTATACCATGCCTGTTTTCTTGTTGTGTATTTTTTTTCTCGATATTTATGTATTTGTTTTTTTTTTATGCTAAGTAGTGGGGTTTTGTTTTTGTATTATCTGTGTACGGAACTGGATAATTGATGTGTAGCCTTGTGGAATGCAATTGCATGAATGACGCTATATAAAATGAAATTATCATTTAAACATGAGCTAATCAGAATCTTTATTTATCCTGGAGAAATCCGATGAGCTATGAAGCTCTTTTTCGCAGATCTCCAGTAGGGGCAGGTCAGAAAATTAAAACCAATGATCCTAAACAAACGATTGGAGTGTAATGTATAGGAAAGGTGAGAAAATCACTCAAAATAAATATGTAAAAAAAATATATAAAAGTAATTGCCAAATCAATCGATGAATCGGAAGCCCCCCTTTTTGCAAGTCGCGTATAAACGACAGCGGTGGCTCACCGGCCTCCCGGTACTGGCCGAACACGAGGTCGTGCGGCTCAAGGGCAGCAGCGCTGCCCATGTGGGTGCCCTCCTCGCCGTAGTTGGTCATGTAGAAGGAGATGCGTCCCTGCCGCTGCGACTCATACAGGATGCGGTCCATCGTGTTGAGCAGGGTCATCTTCTTGTACATCTTCAGTACCGTGTCCTTGTCCAGCTACTCCAGGGCAAGTGGGGGGAAACAAAAAGACAATGACAAAGAAACCCGCTTATAGCATTAACGGGCTGTTGTTGGGGCAAGTGCGGTTAGCGAGTAGCACCTGTGAAGGCCAGCAGGGCACTTGAGAGGGTGGGTGGCCAGCACCACGCCCGGCTGCATTTGCCTCCCCAGTTGTGATGTTTACACACCACACCAGGTACTCATTTGAGGCTGAGTCAACCTTGGCCGTGAGTGGGAATTGAACTCGGGATGCCGGGCACGAGCGCAGCGCGCTAACCAATACACCACCGCACCTCACGTGGGGGAACACACACACACTCGCACTTGAGCAACTTGTATATCTGCTGCTGTTTTAACAAAAATACTAGTTGAGAAAAATCATGCATGCACATGGATTATGCAATGCGTTCCAACATGTGTTTGTCTTCAGAATTATGTAATTATTAGTATGGAAGCAGATAGGTAGCCGTTACAGACAGTTGTTTGCATTCATACAAACAATAATTTTGCTTTGTTTAGTATCTTCAATTTTTTGGGCTACCGTTTAATGATTTCGACCAGTTTTTATTTTTTAAAGTCATTCATAGCAACGTAATTTTAAACAAAGTTTTTCTCATATTGGACCATCTTTGTGAGAGATCTAGTGCCCCCCCCCCCACGTTGGGGAAGGAGAGATATTGCTCGTACATAAACACTGTCAACATTATTTGGAAAGCTTTATCAATAATAATAATAATGATGCACAGCCCTTTATCAATTCACTGATAGATGAGGAATCTCCCTCCAATGCCAGGCCAGTCATGGGGTGGTATTATCATACTTCGCGATGTTGGTCACTGTTGATTGGAGCAGTTCTGATATCAGCCGTAAAACTGATATAAGCAATGCCCAGGAATCGTACTCGGGTTGCCAAGTTCATATAGCCCAATACGCTAACCACTGCACCACAACTTCACCCCGTTTTAAATGCCACTTGATTTAATGATAATAGTTATAAACGCTGTTCGGTGTTGTTTAGACGTAAAGTAGCGTATGGCTGTTGTCCAGCAATCACTTGAACACTTTCAAATCCAAAAATAGCACAAAAAACTGTGGCAGCATGCAAAATGTTATTCCACAGAAAAGTAAACAGGTCCCAGAGTCTGTCTAAAGTCCAATCTGTGCAGCAATTTAACTGCAATGACAATTTGTGCAATGCAGCTCTCATGTTATACGCTGCATTTCTGAGCCCCAACAGTGGCTGATATCTGAATTCGAACCCAGGACCTCAGCGCTCTGACCTCTGAGCCACCCGTCCACCATTTGACAACTTTAATCTGCCTATGTTTCAATCGAAACAGTTTTAATAGAGAATCCTCTTTGCATTCTCCCTAGTAAAGTGGGGTGGGTGACGACCGTGTGCAAAGCGCCAAGGGACTAGCAATTATTTTTTTATTTCAATTATTTTATATTTTTCATAATACTAAGCTATATAGCTATTTTTCAGAAGCAACCTGCCTAGAAATGATGGCTCAACCAAGTGGCTTACCACGTGGAAATTTATAGAAGCCAAATACTCTAAAAGCACGTTTCTAAAGGTGGAGGAAAAAACCGAATGGCACGGAGAAAAATCCACGCGACCATGGGGAGAGAGACACGCAAACAGGCGTCAGGGCCAGCATCAAATCCACGACCTCCTCTATACCAGGCGAGGTCGTCAACATCTCGCCACCGTGGCAAAAAACCCACAAACCTTGGGGTCCTCCTTGGGGTTGATGATCTGGCCCTGGCGGTCCATAACGCGGTAGACGGGGATGCCAGCGATCACGTTGGGCTGGATGAACTCCATGGTGTCCGAGTACTCGGCCGACGCTCCGGGGAAAAGCGGTTTGTCGTCCAGGTCCTGACGACGGGCGCACTGCTCGGGCAACATCGGGGAGGGAGTGGGGAGAACAACAGCAGACGTTCATTCTAGATTTGAAGCTTTCGTGACTGCAAGGATTCATATTCTTAGATTTTTTCGGTAAAGTCATGTAGGTAAAAAATAAAAATTAATAAATGTAAAATAAAATAAAAATCACGACGTTTCGGAGACGGAAGCGTGTGTTGCCTCCGAAACGTCGTGATTTATTTTTACTTTAATTAATTTTTATTTTTTACCTACGTGACTTTACCGAAAAAACCTAAGAATATAGCAGACGTTCAATTCAGAATCTTTATTTAGGCCGGAAGAATCCGACGAGCTATGAAGCTCTTTTTCGCAGATGTCCACTATTTTACCGACGTCAATTGTATCGATAATTATCATTTATCTGTAACGAAAACAATAAATATCATGCATATGAGTGGTTTCTGCAATGCTATATCAAGCTTCATCGCTCCATCTGCTTGGGAGGGCTTCCTCTTGAGAGTATTATCTCATCTTGTTTTGCTGCTACTCGTTTGTTCGTCTCGACCACCTCTCTGGGTTACACGTTCCTGTTATTGACAGCTCTTAATCAATCACAAGGTGCCCCTCAGACCAGCTTCCTCACTGTGGAATGCAGGGGCGTAAAGGGAAGGGTCTGGTCACGTAACTCTTAAACCTCCGATTAGCGTCGGTGGCTACGTAGTTCAACATAGCACCCATTTAGAGTATTTGGCTGAAATATATTTCCACGTCATAAGCCAGTCCATACATACGCCAGTGCATAATTATCAACATTCTATTCGGTGAAATGAATACTAATACGTGATTTTTTTTTGCAAAAGCCAACTTATGAAAGAATGTATTTTTTGGTTGTGCAAGTTACGACCAAGTGTTTATGAACTTTATCTCATATAGTGTACATATTCACACATGTAGACGCTCCCAACTAGCACTGGCGAATTGCGTGCATTAATCAAAGGGCTATCAACACGTCATCTTTCAGATCAATGAATAATTCGAAATTGCAACACACGCACACACACACACAAATCCTACTTCAGAGTAACTAAATTGCCACAAACTGCTTCAGTGACACACACACATCACTGTATTCAACGTCAATATTTTTGTTTGTTAATCATTACTACAAATGTTTAAAAAAACCAACACCTCGACTCACCACCCACCGCGGCCTAGCGCGCTCTACCGACCAACACGCGCCGTCCCGGGCAGGCGATTCTATCCGAGCCACCGCCGCCTCCTGACAACCGAACGACCCCCATCGCCCGAGGCACTCACGGAGACGGATAATAATCGCTTCCCCGGTCGCGGCGGTAGACTCCTGAGGCTCGGGCGAGCGACCCTGAACGGTAGCGGCAGCAGAGATCGGAGGCTGCGGTGAAGCGCCATAGCTTGTGTCAGTCCGCAGCGCAATCCAGCAGTGGAGCACGGCGAATGTCGTGGCGAGGGACAACGGCGCGCAGTGGAGGCGGAGAGGTGACGTCACGGGGGCCTCATCCACTCACAGGGCGAGATTGGGGGGGCGGCTCCCTGCACCCCCCCCCCCACTCAGCGAGAGATGGGGGGGGGGGGAAACTTAGACATTGGGAGCAGCATAAGGATGTGGGCCTTCACATACCTGTCAACCCCTTATCAGTGCCCTACCTTACTACAGACCTATTCTGAACTTATTGGTCACCCCGTGCCCTAATAAATGTCAACGTTCATCCTACAAATTCCCATCATGAGGAAGAACACAATCAAATATACAACAACAACAATAACAAAAATGTGCCCGTTTTGAAATGACTGTACGCCGTATGGACCTGAAAACACAATTTCCTTGTACAAGAATACGGGTACACCGTATGGGTTCACAGCTGTGCCTTCATCCAGGGGTCGGCAAGCTGCAGTTCTGCTTCGTGACAAAATGTATACTGCCTCCCCTGGTATACAAGAGGTCGTGGGTTCGATCCCGACCACTGACGCCTGCTCTGTATATTTGGAATTTGAGTGTCTCTCTTCCCATGGTCGAGATGATTTTTCTCCGGGTCCTCCGGTTTTTCCCTCCACATTTAGAATCAACACACGTTTAGAGTATTTGGCTGCTATCAATGTCCACGTGATTAGCCACTTCGTTGAGGTATAATTTGTGGCCAGGTCGCTTTTGAAAAAGAAGCGAATATCTCAGTGGGCCTTATATGGTAAAATAAAAAAATGTAAAAATGGTTAAGGAACCTCTCGTATTCACCACATGCATTGCGGCTCTTACAATATTGAGGTTTTTTTTTACTATTATTACTACTACCAAATTCGAACAAAAAAATATTCTTGTTATTTTGGTTGCCGACCCATAGCCTTCATGGTCAATTCTAGTTTGTGTTCGCTTTAATGGCATGATTGCCACCATCATAGAACAACAAGAGCGGCCGCCATTCGCCCACGGCGCTTGTGCCAGGCCAGGTGCACGAGGTGCACTCTGGGGCCGCGTGAAGTGTCGAAGGCTCGCTGACAGGAGGCCACGGGACAGGCCCAGGTGGTGTGCCATGAGTTGGCTGGCATCACACACACACGGTGATGCACAAGCACTATCAACAACAAAGCTCACCACATTCGTCAAGAAAACCGTGGCCTTAAAATTGCCCTGATTCATAAATGTGCTATGAAGAGATGTGGCCGAAACGTTATCTATTGTGTTTTTGATTTTTCATTTTAAGGCCACACAGTGGGGGTTTTTTGTCAATGTATTGACTTCTGTGTGATTGAAATACAAAAAAGCTGATGATTGAACCTCAAGAGGCACGGTGCTACAAACCCATGACAATTAATCCAAGGTCATCTTGAGGTCACGTTTGATTTAAACGTGATATCAATTATACTCACCACCATCATCATCCTAAGCATCCTGATAGTCACCTTTATATGTGATCTTCAGTTATTGTCCTCATGATCAATTACTAAGTCATCAATCATCGTACATTGTTGCCATCAGCATCATACGCATCATCATAGACTCATCTTCATCCATTGTCGCTTCGCCACGATTATCACCAATTGTTGCCATCATCATCATCAATGATCATCATCAATCATCAACAAAAAGAACAACACAGCTCCTTCCTCGCCACTGCACCTGAGTAAGGGTCCCGATGAATAGCTGCCAACCACAGCAGCCCACACAAGCACGTGTGAATTCAGGAACGGACAGCTCTTGATAAATCGGACTCGTATAACATTCATTTGTTTTCTTGGTTCTTTCGGTAAAGTCACGTAGAAGGGAAATATTCGGTAAAGTCACGTAGAATGAAAAAAAATATTAATTTATTATTTCCCTTCTACGTGATGATATTAATTTATTATTTCCCTTCGACGTGACCAAGAATATGAATCCCTGCAGTCACGAAAGCCTTAAATCAAACATTAATTTGTTTATTACTTATTAATATTGACTTACTTACTTACCATTTTTTTTGCACTCTTATCGTTTTTTTATTGTTTGCTGTTGTAAACTTGCTGACACGCCCCATACTGGACATTTGTGGGGGGGTGGGGGTGGAAGAAAGCTTCATAGCTCATCGGATTCCCCCTCCAGTCTCAATAAAGATTCTGATTCTGTACGGTCGCCCAACTCTGATTAACCCCCGTGATGCGGGGGGGGGGGGGGAGCTCCCTCCGCCCCTCACCCCGTCCGTGACCCACCACAGACGAATATCCTCGCCTCAATTGCCCCCCATAGTACCCCACCTATCTGCATCCCTCGCCTCTTAAACGCTTCTCTGAGCTGGAGTTTTTCTCATTTTCTTGCGGGGAATTGAAGTCGAGGCTCCCGTGGGGGGAGATGGGGAGAAGGGGATGGAATGGGAGGGGGAGGGCTGACCCACGCCCACCCCCTTCCCCACTCCACCTCCTGGTTACTGCAAAGAAAAATGAAATATACGCGTGTAAATAAATAAATAATTCCTCAGCCATGCGGCGTTATTAACGCATCTCGTGCCAACCAACCGACCCTCACCGATCATCACTGTCAGGTGCCAGCCCAGTGAATGAGAATGAGTAGGTCGGTGAGCGATAGAGTGAGAGTGGGTGAGTGAGGGTGGGTGAGTGAGGGTGGGTGAGTGAGTGATGGTGGATGAGTGAGAGTGGGTGAGTGAGAGTGGGTGAGTGAGGGTGAATGAGTGAGAGTGGGTGAGTAAGAGTGGGTGAGTGAGAGTGGGTGAGTTAGAGTGGATGAGTGAGGGTGGGTGAGTGAGATTGGGTGAGTGAGGGTGAATGAGTGAGAGTGGGTGAGTAAGAGTGGGTGAGTTAGAATGGGTGAGTTAGAGTGGGTGAGTGAGGGTGGGTGAGTGAGATTGGGTGAGTGAGGGTGCGTGAGTGAGATTGGGTGAGTGAGAGTGGGTGAGTGAGTGAGAGTGAGTGAGAGTGGGTGAGTGAGAGTGGGTGAGTGCGAGTGGGTGAGTTAGAGTGAGTGAGTTAGAGTGGGTGAGTTAGAGTGGGTGAGTTAGAGTGGGTGAGAGTGGGTGAGTGAGGGTGAATGAGTGAGAGTGGGTGAGTGAGAGTGGGTGAGTGAGAGTGGGTGAGTGAGAGTGGGTGAGTGAGAGTGGGTGAGTGAGAGTGGGTGAGAGTGGGTGAGTGAGAGTGGGTGAGTGAGAGTGGGTGAGTGAGAGTGGGTGAGTGAGAGTGGGTGAGTGAGGGTGGGTGAGTGAGGGTGGGTGAGTGAGAGTGGGTGAGTGATGGTGGGTGAGTGAGTGTGGGTGAGTGAGATTGGGTGTGAGTGGGTGAGAGTGGGTGAGTGAGAGTGGGTGAGTGAGGGTGGGTGAGTGAGGGTGGGTGAGTGAGAGTGGGTGAGTGAGAGTGGGTGAGAGTGGGTGAGTGAGAGTGGGTGAGTGAGAGTGGGTGAGTGGGAGTGGGTGAGAGTGGGTGAGTTAGAGTGGGTGAGTGAGAGTGGGTGAGTGAGAGTGGGTGAGAGTGGGTGAGTGAGAGTGCGTGAGTGAGAGTGGGTGAGAGTGGGTGAGTTAGAGTGGGTGAGAGTGGGTGAGTTAGAGTGGGTGAGTGAGAGTGGGTGAGTGAGAGTGGGTGAGTGGGAGTGGGTGAGAGTGGTGAGTGAGAGTGGGTGAGTGAGGGTGAATGAGTGAGGGTGGGTGAGTAATAGTGGGTGAGTTAGAGTGGGTGAGTGAGAGTGGGTGAGTTAGAGTGGGTGAGAGTGGGTGAGTGAGAGTGGGTGAGTGAGAGTGGGTGAGTTAGAGTGGGTGAGAGTGGGTGAGTGAGTGTGGGTGAGAGTGGGTGAGTGAGGGTGGGTGAGTGATGGTGGGTGAGTGAGAGTGAGTGAGAGTGGGTGAGTAAAGGTGGGTGAGTGAGAGTGGGTGAGTGAGGGTGCGTGAGTGAGGGTGGGTGAGTGATGGTGGGTGAGTGAGAGTGAGTGAGAGTGGGTGAGTGATGGTGGGTGAGTGAGGGTGAATGAGTGAGTGAGGGTGGGTGAGTGAGGGTGGGTGAGTGAGAGTGAGTGAGAGTGAGTGAGAGTGGGTGAGTGAGAGTGGGTGAGTGAGGGTGGGTGAGTGATGGTGGGTGAGTGAGAGTGGGTGAGTGAGAGTGGGTGAGTGAGAGTGGGTGAGAGTGGGTGAGTTAGAGTGGGTGAGTTAGAGTGGGTGAGTGAGAGTGGGTGAGTGAGAGTGGGTGAGTGGGAGTGGGTGAGAGTGGGTGAGTGAGAGTGGGTGAGTTAGAGTGGGTGAGTTAGAGTGGGTGAGAGTGGGTGAGTGGGAGTGGGTGAGAGTGGGTGAGTGAGGGTGGGTGAGTGAGGGTGAATGAGTGAGGGTGGGTGAGTAAGAGTGGGTGAGTAAGAGTGGGTGAGTTAGAGTGGGTGAGTGAGAGTGGGTGAGTTAGAGTGGGTGAGAGTGGGTGAGTGAGAGTGGGTGAGTGCGAGTGGGTGAGTGAGAGTGGGTGAGAGTGGGTGAGTGAGGGTGCGTGAGTGAGGGTGGGTGAGTAATGGTGGGTGAGTGAGGGTGGGTGAGTAAGAGTGGGTGAGTAAGAGTGGGTGAGTTAGAGTGGGTGAGTAAGAGTGGGTGAGAGTGGGTGAGAGTGGGTGAGAGTGGGTGAGTGAGGGTGGGTGAGTGAGGGTGGGTGAGTGAGAGTGGGTGAGAGAGATTGGGTGAGTGAGATTGGGTGAGAGTGGGTGAGTGAGAGTGGGTGAGAGTGGGTGAGAGGGGGTGAGTGAGAGTGGGTGAGTGAGAGTGGGTGAGTGAGGGTGGGTGAGTAAGAGTGGGTGAGTGAGGGTGCGTGAGTGAGATTGGGTGAGTGAGAGTGGGTGAGTGAGGGTGGGAGAGTGATGGTGGGTGAGTGAGAGTGGGTGAGTGAGAGTGAGTGAGAGTGGGTGAGTGAGAGTGGGTGAGTGCGAGTGGGTGAGTGAGAGTGGGTGAGTGAGGGTGGGTGAGGGTGCGTGAGTGAGGGTGGGTGAGTAAAGGGTGGGTGAGTGAGAGTGGGTGAGAGTGGGTGGATGAGTGAGG